TACCAGAAGAAAAATCGAAGGAGCCCCACTGTAAGGATAGAAGCCACCACTGTACTCCCCTTACCTGGACTAGGCTGGTGCATGATGCGCTTGCTTCTGCCGCCACTGCTGGACCCTCTGTCTCCTCCATCCTACAGAGAGCGCAGCTTACCGAGACCTGTGGTCCTTTAAAGTTCCCGCCGGTCTCCAGCATCCTGGTGACCTGGAAGCACCTGCCGACTTGCCTCCTCCCCTTGCATTGCAGCGGCTGGAACCAATGCCGTCATGCCCCCGCTGTGCGATGTTCCCCGCCGGTTGGACCAGCCAGGACCTCCAGAAGCTGCCTGTAGGCTTCCCATGGCCCGGAAACCCGGGAGACCCGCTCCCTGCGAGAGGAAAAAAGTGTGGCAGGACTCCCCGGCTGGTCACCGCTCCCCTGAGCAGAAAAGGACCCCCCCAACCAGAGGAAGGAGCTGGGCTGGTCCTCATGATCCATCTGGGAGGTAAAAGACCAACGCACTCCAAACGCTGAAGAGAGCACAGCCTCCTCATAACCCAGGTTCCTTCGGCGCTTCCACCATGGCAGAGGAAACACCATAACTGAAGGCATGTGGAAGACGCAGACTTTTAAGTTGCAGTGTTTCCTGTGTTATGGGTGGAGCTGCACTCTCTCCAGGTGCTGTCCTGAAAGGCGAGGGGAGAAAATATCTACTTTCTGTTATAAAACATATTTAATCCCCATTTCAGTCTTTATCCTCTGAATCTGAGGGCGACATTATCTTGGCGGGTGATTCAAACTTGGCTTTAGATCATACGTTAGATACATCTCATGCTGTTGAATTTAAATCCCTTTCTAAGCAAAATCACAAATTTGCACAATTATTATATCTCTATTTATTTGTCGATGTCTGGAGGGAGGCCAATCCCACTTCTAGAGACTCACTCATTTCTCTATGGCTCATAATCATTCTCGTATTCACCATGTTTTCCTCCTCTCGGAACAGTTATCTAAAATTACCACTGGCTAAATTTGCACCTACACCCTGGTCAGACCATGACCCTGTGGTGCTGACATTTTCCAATTTGATGGGTAAACTGGCCGAACCACACTGGAGTTTAAATGAGTTGCTTCTTAGTAAGGAGTCTTATTGCTTGGACATTGTTGATCATCTAAACTCCTACCTTGTAATTAATAAGGCAGAGGATACTATGCCTGCTGTTAACTGGGCAGCTCATAAGTCCTCCGTCAGAGGCTTTTTTATCCAACTGTCCTCCAGACTTAAAGAATATGAAGCCTTAGTCACCCAACACAAAACTACCCCAAATCCTGACCTGTTACACAAACTCATTCCTAAACACTCAGTTGGCGCTCCCTAAAATTAGGCTTTCGGGGGTCATATTTTGCAGGATCCTCAGAAGATTCTCCAGGAATTCCACAATTTCCATGCTAAACTCTATAGTCAGCCTCAGACTGCTGGTCCTTCAATTCAATACTTTTTGGGGACTCTGCCTCTTCCGTTTCTCACTGATGCCCATAGAGAGCTCATGGAACAGCCTATTACTTGTGAAGAGCTCCACAAGGTCATTAAGATCCTGTCATCACATAAATCGCCTGGTCCCAATGGTCTCCCTAATAAATATTATAAAAAATTTTCTGAACGTCTTCCCCATATGGCCCTTTATTTTAACTCTTTAAGAGATGGTGGTGTGGTTCCTCTAGGTGAGAAGAAGGCATAGATTAGTGTAATTCCCAAACCTAATAAATATTCTACTGATGTTCTTAATTATCACCCAATTTCGTTAATTGTGACTTGAAAATTCATAGGAGACTTTTGGCCCTGCGTCTTAAATCTTTTCTTGTGCAGTATATTCAAAAGGATTAGTCAGGCTTCACAACTGGACAGCAAACTTTAGATGAGATCGCTGGTCTATCACCTTGATCTCTGCTGTATGTTCTAAGTGGGATGCTCCTCTTTCAGGGAAATTGTGCTCTTTTCATTCGAACCTCCACAAGGGTTTTGACAGCCTGATTTGGGAATATTTATTTGCCACCCTTGAAGGCATTTGTGTGTTTGGTTTCACATTTCTTGAACACTTTATACGATACTCCTTCAGCTCAAGTTTCCATTAGAGGCTATAGATCCTCATTGTGCCCCATCTGACATGGCACAAGACAGGGCTGTCCGCTCTCTCCATTGCTTTTTGTATTGGCAATTGAACCTTTAGCTATGGTGATTTGCTCCCACCCCCTACATCCATGGTATCTGTTGTGGGCAACAGGAACACAAATGTATTTTATTTGCGGATGGCATTCTTATGTATATTACTGCCCCTCAGGTCACTACCTAATTTGCCATCTCTTCTAAGCCAATTTTCCCAACTCTTTGGGCTTTCTTAAATTCTCAAAAAAACGACAGCTCTTAACGTTTCATTACCCTCTTCTATGGAGCAGACTCTCCGGAACACTTAACTTTCACACACCATTCCTTGCCATATTTAACGATTCAATTAACTGCTTCTATCGAGACTATCAGGCTAATTACGCCCCCCCCCTCCTTTTTTAAAAACTTTAAAACAATCTTTGCCATTGGGCGGACTACTCGTTATCTTGGTTTGGCAGAATCAACTATTAAAATGACATTCCTACCCTGACTGTTGTACTATTTTAGAACCTTACCGATAGCAGTTCCGAGAGGTGATTTACAGAGTTTACAGGCCGAGGTCCTCCACCTTATTTGGGGTAATAGAAAACCTTGGATGAACAAACTGACATTATATGCCTCAAAGCCACAAGGTGAGATTGGCCTTCCTAATCTACAAGCTTATTTCCAAGCTGTACAAATTGCTGAATTGGCCTACACCTCTGCCAGGGAGCCTACACCCCTTTGGGTTTCTGTTAAAGGTTTTTTTCCTGTCATCCTATTGCCATCGGCTCCTTGTTATGGCTTCCTAACCGGTTACACCCTCCTATATTGTGTCACACATTAGCATGTTAATTGACCGCCCGGATAGAGTACGCCACCATAAATCTTTATCATCTCTGCATACACCATTGGCTCCTGTTTTTTGCAATCCTGAGTTTGTGCCTGACTGGTACCTACCCCATTTCAATGGTGGATCAACAAAAAGTGTTGTTGCAGATAGGAGACTCTCTCAATGGTGATAGAATATATTCTTTGCAGCACTTTAAAGACAAGCTACAGATACCCTCCAATCAGATTGTCTCTTTTATCCGATACAAACTCAATTTATTAGATGGTCCTCTTTGCCTTTGCATTGTCTAAAATACCAATTAACACATTAATAGAAGCAAATTATAAAACATTGCTACATTGATATTTAGTCCCTACTTGGGTTGCCAAAATGCACTCATCCTCATCACCTACTTGCTTCCGGCATTGCAGCCAGATGGAAACTATGTACCACATCTGGTGGCAGTTCCCGGTAGTCACCAGTGTTTTTTTCCAAATATTTAACTTTATCTACTCAGTGATGGGAGTGAATATTTGCAGAGCCTCGGAGACAGTCCTTTTTCACAAATTCCTGACGACATTTCCAGAAAGTCACATAAATTGATAAACTATACATTGTTGGCAACAAGAATTACCATTGCTAAATATTGGAAGCAGTTGGCAATTCCACTTGACTATGTCAAGAATAAGCTTAACTGGATCATGGTTAATGACAGACTCACCTGTATTCTTCACAATAATACTAAAACGTTTGATAATACCTGGGATCCATGGATTCAATATATTTCAGTCCCTTAGCGAGTCCTGGACTGACCCTCCTTCTTGCTTTATTCTACTGTCCTTATTTCTTAATTCTTCTGTTAAGTACAATTGATTATACCTTTGATTGTTCTAAGATGTTCTCAATGCCTTAGATGGCTGTGACTCGGCTTGTAGTCTCAGACAAGTGTTGTTTCCCTCTACCTCAAGTCCACCACCTTTTCCCTCCCCGTTCCATATCCCACCACTGTGTTGGTCCTTTATATTTTGATGTATTACTAATTTGGACTTTGCTGACTGGGTTTGTTATGTCCCCAATCTCTTGTGCTCCGGACTCCTGTTACCCTTTTCTATCAATGGGAACCTCTTTTATTTTGTTTAGGATGGTTTATATGAACATGTTTAAATGCTGCAATTTGTGTCTACTGGCAGGGACTAAACTCGGCCTTAAATGTTTCCTAACAAACCCATGCTCCATTTTCTTTTTTTTTTTTTTTTTTAGAGACTACTTACTGTGATATGACTACTGTTCAAATGTTATTGTTATAGACGCTATACTGGTAATGGCGGTAATCAGCCACTTATAGTGGGACTGCGATAGTGGAGGGCTTGCTCCCGTACACCATCAATAGTGACCACTGATAATACTGTACACTGTACTAATGACACTGACTGGGAGTGGGTTAACATCAAAGGGCAATCAAGGGGTTAACTGTGAACCTAACAATGTGTAATGTGTCCTGCTTTTACTTTACTATCGGACTGTTTCTTCTCCCTGAAAAGCAGGGAGAAAAAACAGCCTGATTGCTGTTCACAGTACACAAAGTTCTGTGTTCTTGTAAACACAGAACTCTGTGTGTGATTGGACACAGCTGATCAGCTGCCAAGCTCGTGCTGTGTCCAATCACAGCACGGGTCAGCAGGGGGCGCACGGACGTGCGTCCCAAACCCAGAGGAAAGCCAACCACGTACATGTATGTGATTGCGACTCTACCTGCCACCCACTCGTAATGTTCTTTATTGTGAGCGGTCAAGCAGGTAGTTAAAATTCAATAAAAATACAGTAAAAAAAAAAAAAAAAAAAAAAAAAAAGGCCTTGATGTTCACCAGGAGGAGTGGGTATTCATAGGCAGACTGCATTTGCATGTAGATAGTCCTAGGTATCGCCCACATGTGATGCTGTGCCTCCATGAAGGGAAAGTCAGGGTTCAAAATTAAATGAGAATGTGACACTGATTCAGTAAATGTAACAAGTTTTAAAAAGGTTGTAACAGTCTAGCAAACAGTTACCTGCATATTCTGGGTCCACGTGAGGAGGATAGAAGCCAAACTTGATGAAGATGGGAATGGGAACACCAAACTTAAACCACTCTACAACATAGGGCGGAGGCTGCGCTGTGAGCGGATGGACCACGTTGCACCTCAGGATGACGCTCTCTCCAGCACGTGCGGTCACAAACTGTGGCTCCTCCCGCGAGCCCCCTGCTCCTGCAACACAACACATTTCTGGATTCAAAAATTCTAGAAGTGAAGAGCCTTCCAAATGTAGTTCAGACCTCCATAGAGGAGAAATCATCATATGCAAGAGCCCAACACGTACAACAACACGCTCACCTGTCATATGGACTAGGGGCCTCATACAAGACCTCCGTACTTACCCATCCCCAATCCCCCCCACCTATCACCACTATGGATAATGTCATGGGGTCCACAATACACAAGTATTACTAACTCAGAACAGATATCCAATTACCCCTCCTCCAGGTGCCTTCATATGGGACAGACATGGACACTCACAATAGACAAATATGGGCCTTCCCAGGATACAAGCCCAGGACATTCTAGTGAGAAAATAGGGGCCCCATAGGAGACAGACATAGGTCTTCAAAGGGTGAGGTACAAAACATCAGGGGGGGACATACATAGGCCCTCCAAGAGGACAGATATGGTACTTTGCAGGGGACAGACATGGCCCATTACAGGGGAAGTACTGTATGTATCACAATGGGAACAGATATGGTACCTTTGAAAAGGGACAGATCAAATCTTTCTAGGAGGCAAACATGAGCCTTAACAGAGGAGAGACATGGGCCCTCAAAAGGGGACAGCCACGAGCCTTCACTGGGAGAAGACCCATGGGCCCTCACAAGGGGCAGATATGAGCCTTCACTGGGTAAAGACATGGGCCCTCTCAAAAGGGGACAGCCACAGCCTTCACTGAGCCTTCACTGGGAGAACTGACCCATGGGCCCTCACAAGGGGCAGATATGAGCCTTCACTGGGAGAAGACCCATGGGCCCTCACAAGGGGCAGATATGAGCCTTCACTGGGAGAAGACCCATGGGCCCTCACAAGGGGCAGATATGAGCCTTCACTGGGAGAAGACCCATGGGCCCTCACAGGAGAGACACAGACTGCGTTACAAGAGCTAATAATGACCCTCAAGGGGGACAGGTAGGAAGCCTTTGCATGGGGCAGACACAGGCCCTTATAGGACAGATAAGGGCCCTCACTGGGAATAGACATGGGCATCTGCAAGAGAAAGATACTGGTCAGTCTTCAAAGGGAGAAAATAAGGCCCTCCCCACAGTGGACAGATATAGTTCTCTATAGGGGACACCGGGGGGGGGGGGGCCTTCACGTCAGACAGGTCTTCACAGAGCTCTTGCAGGGGGCAGACATGGGCCCCCGCAGGAGAAAAACAGGAGCCTTCATATTCACAGTGGGAGAGATAGAAGTCCTCACAGGGGTCACTGGGGAAAAAAAAAAGCAACACACAGATCATGTAATCAGCTGTCATTTACCCCTACAGATACTGAGAGGAGCTCTGCTATACATATACCCCTACAGACAAAGATTAGATATGCTATACATTTACCCCTACAGATACTGAGAGGAGCTCTGCTATACATATACCCCTACAGACACTGAGAGGAGTTCTGCAATATTTACCCCAACAGACATAGAGGAGTTCTGCTATATTTACCCCAACAGACATAGAGGAGTTCTGCTTCACATTTACCCCAAACACTGAGAGGAGCTCTGCTATAATTTACCCCAAACACTGAGAGGAGCTCTGCTATAATTTACCCAACAAACACTGAGAGGAGCTCTGCTATAATTTACCCCAACAAACACTGAGAGGAGCTCTGCTATAATTTACCCCAACAAACACTGAGAGGAGCTCTGCTATAATTTACCCCAACAAACACTGAGAGGAGCTCTGCTATAATTTTACCCCAACAAACACTGAGAGGAGCTCTGCTATAATTTACCCCAAACAGACACAGAGGAGCTCTGCTATAATTTACCCCTACAGACATTGAGAGGAGCTCTGCTACACAATTACCCCAACAAACACTGAGAGGAGCTCTGCTATAATTTACCCCAACAGACATTGAGAGGAGCTCTGCTACACAATTACCCCAACAAACACTGAGAGGAGCTCTGCTATAATTTACCCCAGATCTTGAAAACCAGAAAGCTGCATGAACACTAAATCCATGTTTATCTGGAGGAGAGTTCCCTCCACCTCTAGTGAATGTTTCAGTTTGGGGAGGAGTAATGTAACACACTGGGGAAGAACATAATTGGAGGCTACATAAGAGGTCTTGCTGGCTTGCTATGGAATGAGAACCCTGCCTGTGATGTCTTCTAAGCATGTGTTCAGTGAAAAGATCACCTGATTTGGAATGGGAGACCTCCAGCCCGGACATCAGGCGCAGGGGGCCCACACACTACAAGATCTGCAATACATCTGCATCTCATCGTCTAATTTGTCTGATAAATGAATGGTGGAGATGCTCTGCAGATGCTTCCTTGCAATGCTCTGCGGGAAGGAAGGAGTCGCGCGGATTCTGTTGCTGGGTCACGTTTCCTCGGTGATGTCACCGGTCACGCAGGAACATGGGGTGGGGGAAGGGGGCTCTAGAAGGAGAAGGATGGCTGAACATGCACAGGATTCTTTCCAGCAGGGAAGGGGTTACATGGACTCAGCTACGAGACTGCAGCAAGCGTTTTCTGCCAGCAACCTGATTGGCTGCCGGTGACATCACCAACTCTGGGGAGTGATATCAGTGGATATTTCTGACACACAGGAGAAAGTCAGTGATGGAGGAGACGGTGGTGACCCCGAGTGACAAGCACTGACATATCCACACCCCGAGAGGACAGCTCTGTGATGTGCCTTCCATACAGAGGAGGGGGGTCCGGTCATCTCATACATAGTATAGAGTGAGGGGCGGGTCAGGTCCTCTCATACATAGTATATAGAGCGAAGGGGGGGGGGGGGGGGGGGGGGTCAGGTCATCTCATACATAGTATAGAGCGAAGGGGGGGGGGGTCAGGTCCTCTCATACATAGTATAGAGCGAAGGGGGGGGGGGTCAGGTCCTCTCATACATAGTATAGAGCGAAGGGGGGGGGGGGGGGGGTCAGGTTCTCTCATACATAGTATAGAGCGGAGGGGGGGGGGTCAGGTCCTCTCATACATAGTATAGAGCGAAGGGGGGGGTCAGGTCCTCTCATACATAGTATACAGCAGAAGGGGGGGTCCGCTCCTCTCATACATAGTATACAGCAGAAGGGGGGGGGGGTCCGCTCCTCTCATACATTGTATAGAGCAAAGATGGGGGTCTGCTCCTCTCATACATTGTATACAGCAGAGATGGGGTCCGTTCCTCTCATGCATTGTATACAGAAGGGGGGGGGGGGGGGGGGGGGGGCTCAAATGTCCAGTCCTCTCATACACTGTATAGAGCAAAGATGGGGGGTCCGCTCCTCTCATACATTGTATATAGCAGAGATGGGGGTGTCCTGCACCCCCCCCCCTATACATTGTACAGAACAGAGAAAGGGCTGCCCGGTCCTCCCATACATTGTACAGAGAGAAGGGGGTGTCCGGTCCTCCCATACATTGTACAGAGAGAAGGGGGTGTCCGGTCCTCCCATACATTGTACAGAGAGAAGGGGGTGTCCGGTCCGCCCATACATTGTACAGAGAGAAGGGGGTGTCCGGTTCCCCATACATTGTACAGAGAGAAGGGGGGTGTCCGGTCCGCCCATACATTGTACAGAGAGAAGTGGGTGTCCGGTCCTCCCATACATTGTACAGAGAGAAGGGGGTGTCCGGTCCTCCCATACATTGTACAGAGAGAAGGGGGTGTCCGGTCCTCCCATACATTGTACAGAAAATAGAAAGGGGTGTCCGTTCCTCCCATACATTGCACAGAGAGGAGAAGGGGGTGTCGGTCCTCCCATACATAGTATAGAGCGAAGGGGGGGGGGGGGTCAGGTCCTCTCATACATAGTATAGAGCGAAGGGGGGGGGTCAGGTTCTCTCATACATAGTATACAGCAGAAGGGTATACAGGGGGGGGGGGGGTCCGCTCCTCTCATACATTGTATAGAGCAAAGATGGGGGTCCGCTCCTCTCATACATTGTATAGAGCAAAGATGGGGGTCCGCTCCTCTCATACATTGTATACAGCAGAGATGGGGTCCGCTCCTCTCATGCATTGTATACAGAAGGGGGGGGGGGTGTCCAGTCCTCTCATACACTGTATAGAGCAAAGATGGGGGGTCCGCTCCTCTCATACATTGTATAGAGCAGAGATGGGGGTGTCCTGCACCCCCCCCCCATACATTGTACAGAACAGAGAAAGGGCTGCCCGGTCCTCCCATACATTGTACAGAGAGAAGGGGGTGGTCCTCCCATACATTGCACAGGAGGAGAAGGGGGTGTCCGGTCCTCCCATACATTGCACAGAGAGGAGAAGGGGGTGTCCGGTCCTCCCATACATTGTACAGAGAGAAGGGGGTGTCCGGTCCGCCCATACATTGTACAGAGAGAAGGGGGTGTCCAGTCCGCCCATACATTGTACAGAGAGAAGGGGGTGTCCGGTCCTCCCTTACATTGCACAGAGAGGAGAAGGGGGTGTCCGGTCCTCCCATACATTGTCCAGAGCAGATAAGGAGATGTCCTGCCCCCTCCCATACATTGCACAGAGCAGATAAGGGGGTGTCCAATCCTCCCATACATTATACAGAGCAAAAGAGGAGGTGTCTTGTCCTCCCATACATTGTACAGGGAAGAAGAAGGGGTGCCCAGTCCTCCCGTACATTATACAGAACAGAAAAGTGGGGTGCCCTCCACTCCCATACATTATACAGAGGAGAAAAGAGGGGTACTCAGTCCTCCCATACATTATACAGAGCAGAAAAGAGGGGTGCCCTGTCCTCCCATACATTATACAGAGGAGAAAAGAGGGGTGCCCTGTCCTCCAAAACATTATACAGAGGAGAAAAGAGGGGTGCCCTGTCCTCCCATACATTATACAGAGGAGAAAAGAGGGGTGCCCTGTCCTCCCATACATTATACAGAAGATGTAATGGGTGTCCTGTCCCCCCCCCCCTCCAATACATTGTACAGAGCTGTATCTGCTATCTACAGTGACAAGAAGGGGAAATCCTTCCCCTTCTCATACAATG